GGAGCCTTTGTGGGGGTGTCCATGAATGGTTCAAGGCAATCACAGAAGAAGCCATAGAGTAGCTCCGCATCTTTTCTGGGATTGACTGTCCAATAAGCAAGGAAGGCACAGAAGAAGCCAGACAGTCACTCCTTATCTTTTATGGGACTGACAGATGGAAAAGGGTGAGATGGGTGTGGGTCAAAATGAAACCAGGGGACCGCAGGTTTTAGTCCATGTTTTCATTTACCAGGGCAACCCATTTTGGGTACCTTTCTTTGACCCGCGGCCAGATATTGCTTGGCCCTGCCATCGGTCCATGACTCGCATTTCAGGTGCTCGGCCCGTGGCCTTCTCCGAGCCTTTGGGCGAACGCTTTCTCGACGAGAGCACCAAGGCTTTCTACGGGCGGGCCCCGGATGGGCCGGTCGTGGGAAAGGGCCGGTGAAAGCGATTTCAGAAACCAAGCAGCATGCAGCTTGGAATGAGCACTTTGACAAAGTGTTATTGCTTTGCTGGTACTTTCCTTTCGTGCGCAAGTGAGAGGGCTCTTGATTTTTGTAATGGGGACTGCACAGTGTTGCTTTGCAAAATGTTGCATGTCAGGCATACTCAATTGCAAAAAGCAAAGACGCGGGCATGGAATCACTCAGCTTGATAGATTTGGCATCAAAGTGAAGCACACCATGTATCTTTCTGGGGTGCCAATGACTCGCATGGGCTTGTTGCCGCTCGCCAGGCTATCAAGGACGGCTTAACATGGCAGGTTTGGCTTGGTCAAGTTTCAGATGTGTCAAGCCTCCTATTGAGTGAGTCATGTCCCATGACGCAGAGGCTCGTCTTTTCCGTTTTGGCCCCATGTGTAAAGTGAGTGTCTCTTTGGTGAGTGTGTTCTTTGGCTCTGTTCGGTGGAACGAGGGACGGTTTCCGCTGGTTTCACTTTGGATCCAATCATTTTCAAGTGGAGTCATTCGGTTTTTCCAGAAGGGCAGGTTTAGGGTCACGTGGATCCTTGAAGTGCCTTTGTTTCGTTTTGCATGTTTTTTTAGCATCGCGCGGAGTCGCTCTGCATCAGAGAGAGAGAGAGACAGAGAGAGAGAGAGAGAGAGAGAGAGAGAGAGAGAGAGAGAGAGAGAGAGAGAGAGACACGTGGATTCTTTTTTGAAGTGTTTGAAAGGGTTGAAGCAAGAGTGTTGGACCAGGAGGCGATCCGCGAGGAGTTCAAACAGAAGCAATCGGAGCTGCGGTGGCGGTCCCGCTTCTACTGGGAGTCTTTGGATACTGGGCCAGAACCCGAGCCCTTCGTGTCTTGGGCTGCAATTCCATCTGCGTGAGGAATCTTTGTGTGGGCCTTTTTGTGGGTTTCTGCGACAAAATTGCAAGTAAACCCAACCCAACTGCAGCCCAGAGTAAATTGTAGTGGTTTCCCTTGTCCTGACCTGCGGTTTTGGGACTCCATGTCAGCAACAATATTACCAAGGGTCCGTGTTTGGGTCTGTTTTCTCACTTTTGAAGCTTGGGAGGTACCGGCTTTAGGTCATTTGTTGGATGGCCCCACTTCTGGTAGGTGGTTTATCCAAGTATTCGGAGGTTTATTTTGTGTATCCAAAAGCTGGGGCTCCGGATGTCGCCAACATGACCCAGGAGATCCCGGGCGGCTTCCTACTGGCGGCCTATGCTGCGGAGTGCAAAGGCCCAGTGGTGCAGTTCCGAGCCTTCAACGCGGGCCAGGAGGTGAAAGCCTTCCTGCCCCTCTGGCTGCGTATTTTGGATGCGGGGAGAAGCAAACTCGGGGTGCAAGATGGGAAGCCAGATTTGGAGAAGGCCCCAGCCTTTCCTTGAGATGGCTTTAGACAATGGGGAACACCCTGAAAGATGGTGAACATTTTCAGCCCAATGCAAAAGGGTGATGGGTACAATTTCATACCATTCATGGGCCAGATGGGTGTGCCGTTTTATGAGGGCAGTTGGGGCGGTTTGCAAGGGAAAATCAACAAGAGAACCGCCAAACTAATCACCTTTGCAAATTGCCCACAATGGAATTCAGAGGAAATGGGCCTGTCCAGGAGCATCACAACAATCAAAAGAAAAATGGCACCCCACTCAAGCAAAAAGAAGAACAAGCAACACCCAGCAGGAAAGAAAAGCAGAACACGGAGGCAGTCACAGACTCCAATCCAAGTGTCAACCACTGATGCCACCTGAACCTGGTTCGGGCTGGTCTGGCACAGAAAGCGGGGCTGATGTTGTTGGGCTGGAACTGGGTTGGTTTTAGGCTGGTTTCAAGCGCCTGCCTAGCTACGGGTCGGCAGGGAGGTGTCTGCAGTGTATGGGTACTTGATTGACATTATTTTCATCAACTCATTAGGCACAGGTCCTGGTGTGGAAAGAACCAGCTCTCCATGTTTTGCAATGTGTTCAGTGTGTCAAAGTGGTAGAGTTTCCCTTGCTGGCGAAAGTTAAAAGGAAGCGGGGTCTTGCTAAGGACGGCCAGGTGCCCTTCCATGATGTCTACGGCAAAATGTTGATAGTGACAGGTGACCGAGGGCACATCCAAAGATTGGGTGTTTGAGTTTTTGGTGAGGGAAGAAAGACCAGATGGATGCGTGGGGCCAAGTTTCTTTTAGGTGTGTGATGCTCGAAGGGGGCACGCTAGGATCTGCATGCAGACTCACAGAACCCAAAACAATCAGCAGCTGCAGGAAGCAGCGGATCCCCCGCGTCATCGCAGTTTCGGATCCGCATGAGCAGCCGCTGCAGATCAGCGTGTACTACCCAATTGAGCAGGAGGACGCAGCCGTGTGCGCCGCGGGGGCCTTTGTGTTGGATGCCAAGGCTTTAAGGGTTGGCAGTGTCGAGCATCAAGATCCATCCATTTTGCTTGGATTAATAGATGTGTGGATGTCGCTTTGAGCAGCTGGTCCTGGTGCAGATGTAGGTCGAAAGCAGGCAGTATTTATTTTGGATTGGATCTCTCCCTTCTGGATGTTTGAAGGGAACCCAAAGGAAATTCACACATGTTTGGGGGTCCACTATGTCAGGCATCAACCGAGGTTTCAATGGTAGCGGCTCGCTGAATTTTTCAGGCACTCTATTTGATGATGGCAGTTGATTCTTCTTTTCTGGGGTTCACTCACCCAAAAGGTGCCAGAATACCTATCCCCACCCCTCAGTGATGTACCGACCGAATTGTCCAAAACCACCAACACTTAAGTCCTCCCCCTCCCCCGCCCAAAACCCCCCAAGCCCTTGCGAAGTTCCCCGAGGAGGAGGAGTTCATCCGCACGGTGTCCCTGCGCCTGGAGACCTGCCAGCTGCAGCGCCTCAGCGCCAGCTCCTTCGTCTCCTCCGAGCTCTTCCGCCAGGCGCGCGAACTGCGCTCCCGCGAACGAAGCCCGGGGACCCCCGGGGATTTGGTCGGGTTCGTTGGGCGCCAGAAAGCAGAAGCCACATATCAACGACTTGTAGGCGGTGTTTTTGTTTTTATGTTGCGCATCTCAAGCTTGCTCCAGGATATGCGTTTTGCTCAAGTTGGAGCGTGGGGTGAACCTTGTTCCGCGATTTCAGAGTCCCGTGCTTGCCACCAAGCTTCCAGTACACTCAGTCACAGAAGCGAAAGCAACAAGAACAGCCAAATAGCTCTGAAAGGCGTACCACCCGGCTTCTTATAGACGCAGTCAGAAAAGGGAAAGCAAAACACTTTGCACAAGAGCTCACTCAGCGGCCAAGCGACCCTGAAAAACTGCTGCACGTGCTATCAAGCTGGTTTCGGACTTCTGCTACTCATCATGTGCGATTCCTGGTGTGCGCCGATTTTAAGCTTGGCGCAGGCTGAAACCCGCAGAAGATTCTTTGTCTCACAAGAATTCCCCCCCGCTCAATGGGCCATGCGAGCTATATTTTTGTTCGCTCATCTTTGGAAGGTGATCTCCACCGAGGGGGAGATTGACAGCGTGGGGGACTTCGAGGTAATCAACTCCTACACCCTGCTCGAACCTGGGCATGTGACTGTGCCTTGTCTCACAACGGCCGAAAATGCCGATTCATGAGGCTTTCGGCGTTATCACCCACCTGAAGTGGCATCCATAGCACAAATGATTGGCAGCAGGCAGGTCTGACGCTGGAATCTGCGACCAGTGTTCATTCGTTAGAGGGCCCCCCCCAAAATTTCTTCTGTTTCCAGGTCAAGAACCGAGTCGCCAAGTACCTGGTGCCCACCGATTCACTCTTCGAAGAATCGGCTGGCCGTGCTGTGAGCTGCTTGGACTATTCCTGGGATTTGCGACGCCTGCAGACGTGCATCGAGACGCCTTATGGAGAGCAGTGTGCCGGTCAGGACGGTTCTGAAGTGCAGTGTTTCCTCGGAACGTGCTTTTTGCACTTGTAACTTCACTGCAGAAATCGCGACTGGAACAAACGATTTGACGCACTGGCTCAAGGCAATCTTCCAGGACTAACTCGTGTCATGTGCCGCGCATTCCGCAGGAGTCGGCATGCTAGCTCGCAAGGGAGTCCTGAGAGGCCTTTCGGCTGCCGCCAAAGAGTGCGGTGTTCTGTGGCAAAAACAGTGGGCAGTTTGCAGCTTGTGTTGAAGGTGCTTGGTTCTCAGATGTTGTGAATTGCTTACTTGATGACAGAAGGTCGACCTTTTGGCCGGTTGCCTGTTGACGTTTCTTTGCGTATTGGTTTGGCTGTGCATCCTCTTCCAGACAAACAACACGACAAGGGCGGGTGTCGACGGGTAACCGGGTATCGGCAGCCAAACATGGAAGCTGACAGGGGTTCCCCTCTGGACGACTAGGTTTCATCAGCACTGGCCTTGTGGGATGAAGCTTTCACGTGAGCTCAAGGGTAATCTATCGATACAAGCCAACCAAAGATGCACCATGGTACCCTGAACATGAAAGCCGCGGAGGGTTCCTGTTACAGGGAATGGTCCAAACCAGGAGGTTCCATGTTGGTTGGGCTAAGTCACAGGTTGAACTCATCCCGGTGCCACAACTTTTCGGCCTTCGGTTGAGGAGCTGATGAGGCAGACCCGGAGAGCGTCGCCCAGGCTGAGGCGGCAGCTTGAAGAAATGCGACTTTGGGTCAAAACCAATGCTGCCATTTTGGGGTAGGTGCACCACCCATTTTAGAACCTATTTTAGTGGGGATTGAATCGGATGTTCACTGGGGGTACGGGAATTTGACCCATGACCGGTTCTGAAGGGAAACCCGCCCAACGTCCCCAGGTTTTTGGAACAGCTGGCAAAGGTGATGTTTCAAGTGGTCCAGGCAGTTTCGTTTGTGGAAGCCCGGGCTCCGCTTTGGGAAGTTGGCAAAAATGCCAGGAGCTTGCAGAGGCTTTGCAAGGCGCGGACAATAGAAAGCAGAGATCGACCGCATGTCCCAGATTGCAACTTGCCACACTTCGCTGTCACAGTCCTTGCAGCCCATCTCAAGCGGGTTTTCGCCTCGACTCGTTTTACCATGTAATTTTGGTCCCGAAATAGGTTGACCAGATCACTCTTGACTGACCCCGTGCAAAGGTTCCTGCTGTGTGGTGCAACACTGAACAGAGAGAACGAGAGAGTGACACGTGGGTGGGTCTTTTTAGGGGACCCCCCCAAAAATGATGTGTGTGTCCTTCTAGTTTCTGTTGAACACCAACCCAACACGGACACCCTCAAAAAGAGACGCACCCGTATTTGCTTTGAAGAGCAGTCCAGCTCATCGATTACGCCATGAAAGCGCGAATTCCTGGTTTTGCTCAAGCTGTCAGGTCAGCTCGCGCAGCTGCGGGCCCTGCGCAGTCTTACCCTTTGCGAGTGTTTGATGGCACCCTTTTCGCGGTTGCGCCTTTTAGGAAAGGGAACCATATTTTTTGGGCATTTGGAATTTGCAGACACGCTCATATTGTGCCAAGGTTGTGGAGACTAATCTTCAGGCAAATGTGACGAGGAAGAGGTTCTTACCAGCAACGTGCATCATGGGCATTGCCTGTGTGTTCATACTTGTGCTTACTGCCACAGGCAAGTGCACTTGCCACTTGCCAGGGACCAAAGCGAGGATGCAAGGCGGGTCGCTACCGGCTGGAAACACTGCCCTCGCATGGCTTGGACAAAGCGATTGGCCCAGAAACCGCCAATTGCAAAGGTGCAGAGGTGCAGAGGCACCACAGCCTGGCAGAGTCATTGCCCCATAGCCGGCCTTTTTGTTTGATCCCCTTCATGGATCAGGCCGAAGTGAGCAGAGCCCGGAGTCTCGGTGCCCTTGCTGGGCGCCAAAGCCCAACGTTTTTGGAGTGCGTGTTGGTGAACTTGCTTTGCAGAGTTCGAAACTTCCAGCAGTTTTGGCGCGATTCTTGCAGAGGCAAGTTTAGGGGTGAAGGGCTGATTGAGGCAGCGTTGGGACTTCCAAAAGCTGCAAATTCACTGCCTAGAGTCCAACACAAATCTAAACCTGACCAAACCGACGGCAGTGCAGGAAATCTGCGACACACGCAGCAGTTGTGGAATGCGCAGGGTCTTAGGAAACAGCCGCGGGCAAATGCTCTGCGCGTGGCTGGTGGGCGTTGGCAAAGTCTATTTGACTAAACACGCCAACCAGTGGAATGGCTTCTTTTTGCCAGAGTGCGGAAGAGGGATCTACCACCTGCAGCTTGGCGGGCTATCGGGCAACCCATGGTGTTTGTGATGAGGGAGTAAGTTTCCACGCTGGTCAGCATTTTGTCATTTTGGCCCTTTGCGCTGGGGCCAACAGAAAGTGCGAGGAGGGGATAGGAGAATCTCATTGCCCTTGTCAATTAGTCACCAGGCTTTGCCCTTGTCGGATGCAGGATTTCAGGGTATCCCGAGACAGGAGTCCTCGGACCCTTCTAGGTCCCAGGCCACATTTGCTCTGAATTTCAATTGTTCGAACACTCCCCAAAATGGTCGGACCTTAATTTCCCCCCCTGTAATGATGTGCACGGGTTAGTCAAACCCATGCGGCAGGAAGGACTCCCTGAGCGCGCTTCTTCGAGGGCCCAGCCGCTAGACGCCGAGCCCTTGGCTGACAGTATGCGAGCGGCGACATGTTTCGCCCCCAGGCGTCGCTTTGGAAAGTTGACGGCACTGGTGAATGATCAGAACTGAACCGACTGATGGTTTCTTGACGCCTAACCTCTACAAGCGCCTGCGTTAGTGAGTTTGACAGCAGGCGCCTGGACACGCTGCGAGAGACGTCGAGTTGTGGCCGCGATTTTCTGTAGGTTTCTCCTGTCCACCTTCGTACTTGCAGGTGTGATAGTCTTTAGCGCGGACAGACTGCTGCCGACAACTATGAAACCAGTGAGTGTGTGTGCTTGTTATATTCTTTGCCTCGATCCAGGAATCCTTCCTCGCCTGCAATCGATGGTAGCACGCAAATTGTGATGGGGTGTCATTTCGGCATCTCCGCTCTTCATTTGTTTCCTCCGCGCGTAAGAGGGCCTTAGTCACACCATACCAAGGAGGCTTCAATGACCTTCATTGAGTAGGTTTGAGCAAGGGCCTGATTTGGCCAACACAGAAAGCAGATTTGAGCTTCATTCCGGCAAATCGCATCAGCACGTGCTAGCAAGCCAACTCAAAATGCCGAACGGAAGCGCCTGAGGCTCGCGTGAGAGCTGCGTCACGTTTCACTTGGCCATGCCCACAGGGAAGAGGGAGAGTGAGTTTTGGCCAAAGATTCTAAGCGTGCGATTTGCCGACAAGGAGATGGTTTCATACTGGGCTACTGACCCAACTTCGCCAAGTCAGTCCGGAACAAATCGAAGGCAATTGTTTGACTGGTTGCACAATTGAGAGTCGCATTGCACCGATATGTAAAATGATTACTCTGGAAGTGCTGCCAGTGTGATTAGATTCGCATTCGTTCCCACAACTGCCAACAGATTCCACTATGCACAATAGCATTTGACACATGGGTTCTCATGAGCAAGGCTAAAGGTATCTGGAGGAGGCCTTCCAGCTGATTTCCTTCGCTCTACTTCTCACTGTTCGACGTTAATGTTGATCCCCATATTCATCAACCCCAGTCAGTTTATTAATAGGGGGGTGTCCGATTCTGGGTTTAGTAGGGAATCATCACTTTTGGAGGGGAACACCCCCGAATATTAGTAACGAACTGGGGTTGATTACTATGGGTTCAACATTACGATCTAAGAGTAAGACATCTTGAAAGCCATGCCCCTGCTCCGTGAAGAGTGGGGCGAGCAGAGCCGCTGATTCTTTCGGAAGGTGCCAGTCTGGTTCCATTGGGTTCTAAATAGCCAATCTATGGTTGTATCAATTATCGCAGATATTGATTGCTGAATTTGTCCAGACGCCCTAGAGGTTGTTCATGCTGTGATCACTTGTATACATGGGAGAAAGAATGCCTTGTAGCAAACCAGTAGACTATGCCACTGCAGACGCGACAGACAGGAAAGAGCGATGTCAAGTCTAAGTGTGTGCATGATAGCAAAGTCTCATTGCTTGGGCTTGACTGCGAGAGAGTTTCAACAACCATGGTGAGGTACTCCCAGCAAAGGATTCATGACCAGTCCCCGTGCAAGGCATGTTGACAGGACCTGGTACTGAGGGTAGCGAGGAAACACTTTGAGGGTTGATACTTGTTTCATTTCAGGCGTGGGGAACCACAGTTCTGGCTCGTTACAGCTTTTTGTGCAGCTGCATTGCCGCATAGCCGTGCCGCTGTGAAGCAAACGTCGCGGGGTTGAGCTGAATGCACGGGACTTAGAAAACGGATGCTCTGTTCAGTTCAAATTCATGGCAAGACCCATTCAAGTTGTATCACTGTGTCACACTTGTTGAGGCTATCAACGGCTGCAATTGCAAGGAGCTGTTTACCGGGCGTAAGGAGCGTAAGGAGCGCAGCTCTGCGGGTATGAGAAAAGGTCGGTGCCCAGAGCAGTCGCTGCACACGGCATGCCAAAGAGCGGTGACGGTCAGGCAGTGGGAAACTGTGGAAGTTCCTGGGAGGCTGAGCCCGGCCTACCTGGTTCGGGTAATATGATGCGCACCAACATGTCCGGGATCCTCAATGAGGTTTGCTCTTAGTTGTTGCCTGCACTGTTTCCACCCGTTGAAGAAATATTGTCACTCACTCAAGCCATATGCCATATATGTTTAAAATGAGCAGCTTTGGCCGCTGCATGATTGAAGTTGAAGCTTTCTATCTTGAAGTTGCTTCATGAACAAGGAGATAATCGCTCGAGGACAAGTTTTTACCCGGTTCCTTGTCATCCACTGGCTCAGTTAGGGATTCCAGCCGCGCCAGCATTGCATGGGCGCGCAAGGCAAGGAAAAGACGTCGGCGTTGTTTTCAGTGAACCAGTGGCGTTTTGCAACGCAACATCCCATTTACCCTGCAGAGGCTAATGGATCGCGACCGGCGTGACCGGCGCGACGACCGGCGCGACGATCGGCGCGACGACCGGCCAGCAGCTGAGCATGTTGGCTTCTTCGGTTGGCATTCGCAGCTTGGATGCCATGGGAGGCACACTTCTGATCCATTTGCTCGGCAGGGCATAGTTGTCAACTTCCAAAAGCAGTTTTGGGTGAGGGCTGAAGTGTGGGACAAGTCTTGTTCTTCCACCCCTGTGTCGCCCACAGGCGGGACTATCGCTCCGCAGGGGGTCTCAGAGCAAAAGCAGTGACAGACAGGCATCAGAAGTGCAGAGTTTCTGCGTACAGATGTTCCACAGAATCACGCTCTGGATTAGTTGCGGCAGTCATGGTGAAACCGATTCAGCCCATACCTCAAGCATGCCATGTTTTGTGCGTGGCTGATACAACCTCCCAGTCCATCCATCAAAGCTACCTTTTCAGCTGTTTCATTGGCGCTTGCACGGGACCGGAGTGAAGCCAACTGGTCTGATATCATCCTTAGGCGAGACGGGAATGGTTTTCCCATGTTGTATTTTGGTGATTTTTGGTGTCGAGGGATTCAGATTAAGGACCCCCCTGTGTAGAAAACAGCCCAGGCGAATCCCTTGGGCCGGCCCAGTGCGCAGGACCGTCGCCGAGATAGCCGCGACCGGCGAGAGAGCCGCAGCCGGGGTCGGCGAGATAGCCGCGACCGGCGAGACGACCGCAGGACATGACGGGGTTGGGCAACGGGCCCTGGCTAAAGAGCACCGAGAAGAAGGGATGCATGCTATTGCATGCATGGTCCAACAAGGCTCCTGGAGCCGTTTTCAACAGAACGGCAAGCCACTGAAAAAGGCAATGATTGGCAGTCACAAGCCGTAGCTCATTCCAATCCTCGGGCCAGACTGCTTACCATAAGTTCCTCTGAGAGGCATGTGCAGAATTCGGGCATCCTGGGTCCACAAACACATAGCATCGCGTTCAGTCCTTCAGCAAGCTAGCCACGACAGGAATTTGCCCCTCCTCGCTCTGCCGCAGCCCCCCACCCTAGGTTGCTTATGTGTCCCTCTAACGTCATTCTTACCACCAACATTCTAGTTCACCATTGGTTCTCACAACCAACCAAGCGAGCTTCAGAGCTTCAGGAACCGCTCCTTCCGGGCTCTTGCCAAAGCCAGAGCAAGCGAAACGCACGTGCTGAGGAGCCCCCGCAGAAGTCCGCCTAGGCGTGATGAGCGCAAGGCGAGGGTTTGTTCTTAGGGGCTTCATCGGGATGAACGAAACAACTCCTGGGTCAGCGGCAATCAGGGGATGAAGCAAAAAGCATGCTCCGCCTTTTGAGGCCCAAGGAGTATATGCGTTGAAATCAGTTGTGTCTTGCAAGCGAACACACTGTCGCGCACGTGCACGCACACGCGCGTGCAAACTTTCACTCGCCCTCGACTTATCAGGGCGCTTTCCAGCAGAGGAACAACTATATTACTTCTTGGGCGCCGCAATCCTAATAGGCCAAACCAGGGCCGTTCCAAGAGTCTGCCCGACGAGGATGACAGGAACGACCGCCGTGATGATCGAGATAGAGACAGGCGGGTTGCCAACTCACAGACATTGGGCATTGGCCTTTTTTCATGAAGATGTTCCTAAGTGGGAGTCCCAAATGCAAGTTGGAGAGTTGGGGGGAAGGCAGCACCGTTCTTGCAGTGAACTCCCCTTTGGTGCATGTAGCTCATACATCGACGATGGCACTGACGCCTTTTCAATGCCTGTCTCTCTTGCTTGTTTTTTTTTTTTTTTTTTTTTTTTTTTTTTTTTTTTTTTTTTTTTTTCGATTGGCCGCATCTCTTGGATGTTCACCATAGACACTTCAACCCCGTCGAGCTAGCCGGCACAGGGAACCTGAGAAGCCACCAGAAGACTCGTCAGAGCCTCGGAAGTTCAAAGCACCGAAATTCGAAGCTCGGTGCGCTAGTGACGCATGGCGCATGTGGCAATCCTTTTTTTGAGGCGGTCTGCCGGAGGCAGGGAATTGCATTCTCTGAGAACCCAACTCAAATAGCTTCACGCTGCACAAAAACCAAGTTGGAAGCTGAATCATGTTCCGAGGAGAAGCAACACTTGCCCCATGCTTCCTCTTTTCTCATTCCAAGCACCAGGACCAAGAAATCAATCCCCCAGACCTCCAGTGATCCGTCAGGAGAAGTGTTCCATACCAAGAACAAACAGGAAGATTCTGGGTGGAGAAGTGTTCCGACAAAATACCAAAACACAACCGAACAAAGGTGCCGACCTTCTTTCCGCGGAGTTGCCAGGGGGCGGAGCTCCGGACGCCAAGATTCACGAGGAGGGCTAGAACCAGTTCCACGTGTCATACCGAATAAAGCCAACGATGTTGACGATATCACTTTCAGCGCTCAGGTGGTAGCCTTTTTTTTAGCTGTTTTATTTATTTATTTTCCGTAGCTGTTCTGATGGTATGGTCTTTTCCACCTTGGGCAACAGGTCTTCGCAGTTGTTCAATCGGTGGTCGTTTCCACTTTGGGCAATGGTCAAGATTCAGCCACCAGGGGGCCGCAGGTTTTTAGTCCTGGTTCCATGTGGCAGGGTTCCATTTTGGACGCCTATGTTCGACCCACACCCATTTAAGGCTTGAAACGGTGAATCCTCGACGCGTTTTCAGAGACGCGCCTCCCGACAGGAGACCATTGGCGGCCGCACCAAGTATAGAGCGCGCTTGCCGTGCGGTGGGAAGCTCAAAGTTGGCGGGTTCTCCACATGGGCTGCAGAAAATACACAGTTTCCTTACTAAAGGGAGCCCCAAATTGGAAATGAACTTAAACCAATATTGCTCTTTCCTCCGTTTGTTTTTTACTTAAGGCCAACCAACAAAACATCATCTGAAGCTCTACTCTCCATGTAGGTCATGTTTGACAACATAACATGTGTTTGCCATATTCTTAGAATATATGATTGGGCCATTTCATAGCACCTTTGGGGAACGAAAAGACTCGGCACTCCATGTGGGAGCACAGAATGCGGAATACGCGTTGCTTAAAATGAGTCCTTCAATTTGCCCAGGGCGTCTCAGCCCAGGTTTTGCTCTTGTGGTGCAACAATTTTAGATTCTAGAAAATTTCTACCTTCTTGGAGGCTCTCTTTGGCGGAACCCTGTATGAGAAGAAATGCCTCTCCCGGATTTCCCTTGAAAAGACACCACTGTGCTTGCTGTGGTCAGAAGATCTGAAGCATGTTTGCCGCACATCCTGATTACAACAATGTTGCTCTTCTGGCCAAATGCAAAGGTCCAGCTATGTCGACATGGCAGACGCTTGGGCTTCAGGTTCGCTGGTCATTCAAGGGCCGCTCCGGGCTTTCAAGGAGACTTCAGAGCAGGAGCGCGCCCTGGAGGATAGATGAACAGATTATTATAGCCACTTTGAGCTGGAGAGGGTGCCCTGATCACCTCAGATACGATTGTAAGTGGATTGCCTTGAGTAAGCACAATGTGGACGTGGGAGCCGACTTGGGTAATCACACAACCCAAACCATCTTTGGGCGGGTTGGGTGTTTCTTCCAAACGGGGGAGCCCAAGGAATCGAAGGCTTCCCCTCCTCATGCCCCAAGCGCTCTTTGGCTCGAGGCCAAAATCCCAGCTGGTGGTTTCCACTCACAACTCTTTAAGCGAACATTGGAGATCGGTTGGTGTCTCACTCACTCGCGCCTTTCTGATTTGGGTTTGTCTTCAACAAACATGAGGCCCCCAAATTGTTTTTTTTGGGGGTGAGTCTCCTTTCGGTTTCTTTTCCAGACCACGTACTTCACCAGAGGCGCATCCGCAAAAAGACGCGGCGCCCGTTTTTTGGGCTCCGCAGGACCTGGTGAAGATGGAGGCCGCCTGGGTCAGCGACGGTCTTCAGGGCGCCGGGCCGGCCCAGGTATGGGGCCAAAAGGAAAGCGGAGGAGGTCCCTATCCAGATGTTGGGTTACATTTTGTTCATTGGTTTTGGCGTTTGAAGGGAACTACCAATTTTGGTGTTTGGCTTCTTACCCTAATTTTGAGATGGTTCTGATCCGGCAAATGTGTACTTGTCAGAGAGGGGCCCAAGATTGTTGCCTTTTGACATGAGTGCAACTGAACGCCCCTTCTCGCGGGTCGATCTTGCAAACCATGGCTGACTCCGAGGCTTTTCGACCCCACGACTTTACGAGGTTTGATACATATACATAGATATGTATATATATATATATATGTATATAGATATGTATATATATATACTATAGCTCTTGGTGTGCTCCAGTTCATGTACGACTGTCCTTGCTTGGCGTTTTTGCACCGTGCTCGTAGGGCTCTCCCGATCTCCGATTGTCTCTGGGTCTATCCTGATGCATCGCTCGTGGCGCGTGCTCAGCCGGGCTGTTGCCCGGAGCCCCGAGGTGCAGAAGCTACAGCCCGAGCTGTTCCGAATTCGCGAGCCCCGCGCGCCCAATCGGCGGTGAGTCGTTTCACCCGGGACCGGTTGCGTCACTCCTGGGAAGATGACGCCGGAAGTCCCATGTCTTAGCCGTGTCCTGTGATCCATTGTGTGCCACCCGTGGCTTTGTTGAGAACGCGGACTCATCATTTAGGCCAGGCATCCGCAAAGGAGTTGGGCAGAGCAGCTGAGCCTGCCGATTGAAATGCCTTTGAGTCATGCAGCGCTCCGTTTACAGCATATCCCAAAAGCACTGTGGATTCTCAAACCAAGCTGGGCGGAGGAAACCACCCCGAGGCACCTGAGGTTTTGTCAGTTTCAGAGAATATGCCTGGAGCGCTATGAGGAGAAATGGGGTGGGACTCTTACTGCGCTGCTGCTTGGCACAGACACAAGTTCACGACTGTTGTCCCCCCACCTGCAGCAATCACGAGGTGCAGATTCGCACTGGGCTAGCTGCGCTGCACGTGGCTTCAAGGCTCCATGACTAAGTTGACACCAAGCCAATTTCAGGCGGCAACTAGTTTGTCATAGCTTAAACAGGAATGGACACCATGGTCTTTGGATGTTATCAACTCAGCTCCTGAACATTCATACAGCTCAGCCGACCTCAAGGATAGCATTCGCTCAGCCATTGGAACAGAGACCACAGGACGTAGGAAGCTCACCTTGGCCCTTCGGCCATGGCGTATGGTCTCAAAACCATCACAGGCCTGGTGAGCTCTGCAGTTTGTTTGCCCACGATCCTTCGAGTTTCAGTTCTGGTAACAAATCATGATGTGTCAATGCATTCGGTACTGGGTCTGATCAGCGAGCAGGAAAGCAGTGTGTTTGGAAGCATTTTCCACTTACACCGAGCCATTGGTATATTGGCGATTTCGTGAACAGGATGCTAAGAGAAAGGCAGGCAGTCGGCAGTCTCTCTGAGTTCGAGCAGTGTCGGACTCGCTGCTTCATGGGTTTTGTGTATACTTGATTGGTGGAGTAAACCATGTATAACCCATACCGGCATGGTCTGGCTAAGCATCAAAACCAACACGCAGAACAAACACTCTTGCGACAACCTGCTGACATCCCTAGAAGCCCGATAGCACACACCAGCCCACAACAAGCACCTAGACAAAGCGAAAAAGGACGCAGAGCAAGCTTGACACTCGAGATATTTCCGGCGCCATGAGTGGAGACCCAGCTCCCGACCCAGCTCCCGCGCAAGACATGGCGACGGACGAGCGGCTTGACTTGACATGTCAGGGTCCTTGTCATGCTGGCAAGATCTGGAGGCTTATGGCAGGGGATTCCTCGGCGCGGTAGCACAACGCCCATGGCCATGTTGTGGCGCACACTGGGCCGGTTCTTCGTTGCCGCTGTTCCCAGGAGAAGCTGCCGGCACTTCAGACCCACAAGGCAGCAGACAGAGAGAAAGATATGTCGATTGAGAATCAGCAGATCCTTTTTTCTTGACCCTTTGTCAGTGCTTGTAAAACTGTGACAAGATATGTATCCTGCAGGGCATATGTCCTCGCCCTCGCCCTGTTCCAGGTGCTTCTTGCGGGTGCAGTTGACCTTTGCATCTCGGATTTCGAGGTTAATCAGGGAGACGTCGAACAATAAAAGATCCGTCTTACTTTCCGCCCAAGCGCGTAGTTTGAGGTGCAGTTATTGAACTGAAACAAGCTTTGTGACCTGAGCGACTGGAGCCGTGCGCCAAGTGCTGCCTTTGCCCTATCCGTCGCCTGCAAGTCACACAGAAAGAGCGCGTTGGACGGAATGGTGGAAATCATCAAGAGGCAATTTGAGAGCGAGCCGCCATCAGGCCTGCGCTGCAATTTATGACAACCCTGTGTTTTTGGTGGCTGTACAGCTACTATCATATGCAAAGAGCCATAATGTGACACTCTGCTGGTGCAGCCTAAGCAAGGTTTTGTCCTGGAAACTTGCAAACATGGCCTGAAACTTGCCAAGTCCAGGCAGTTTGTCGAAAGGAAGCTTGAAGGGTAGCGGCTTCGGGCAGCGAACAGCATTTTACCTGGGGTTCGGCAAGGGGCAAACGCAAACCCATGGTTGCCATTTGGCCGTTTGCTGCCCCAAACCCCACCGGTCACTTCTAAGGATCCGCCCGGCGAGCAGCCTTCTGCCCAGATGCTTCAGGCAGCCATCCATGAGGCGAGACTCGCAGAGTTGGCCTCGATTCGCGAGGTGGGTTGAAGAGTGGCCGCAGAGTCCAGAAAAAGATTGCAAGAATTCCCAGGGGGGCCTTGCTATCAGTTGTTGTGATTTGGTCCGCAGTTGCTTGACTTGAGAGACTTTGTGCAAGGCGATGCACAGCGCTTTCGGTTCTTGCGGCGCCTTGGAATGCCACCAGCACGGCACAGAATGTTGATCTCTACCGTCTCTACCATGGAAAGGTGTGGTCGACAATCATCTTTTGCATTTGCACAACCATTGCGAAACTCTGGAGCTGATGAATGATTCTGGCTGTATGAATTGCTTGTCAGCTTGTACGCGGCTTTGTCTCAGGCGCCAGCTTGTGCCACTGGTCCTTGCTGTCGGCACCTGACGAGCCTCGGTGCGAGAAGCCCGTGAGCCTCATGGCATGCTTGTCAAATGGAAGGGCGCCCAAGGGTTTGCTTCAAGGTACACACGACCAAAGACTCCGACACGCCATTTTTGCACATTCCCAGGCTCCAACCCAAGACCCGAATTCCTGTGGCGGCTGTCCAACTTTCCCGGATTCTTATGGCTGTTTCCGGATGCGCGACATCTCAGTTTCAGATGTTTTTTCATCCGAGGAGAAGGGTTGCTTCTTCCTCCGGGTGCGTCCGGAGCACCTGCAACAGCTCCGCTTCGCGTTGACGCTGACCCGCTGGCGCCGCCGCAGCCGCGCGGACGTGCTGGCGGTGGCTTCTTGCTGTGCACGAGAGCCCGGGGGTGCCCGCCCCGTGTTTTCCCTTCTTCGGGCGGCTTTCAAACATCCGGCCAGTTTTAAGTGAGTTTCTCTTTCGGGTGATGTGTAAGAACCCTGAGAGTGGGGAAGGTGGAAACACGGCATGGAGGTTGCAAACAACCGAGTTCAAACATCATTTTAGGACCTGTCATGGCAAGCATAGCTATGCGCCGCTGGCACCCCAGGCACCTTCTCTGGCAGCTCTGGCCTGCGCGCGATAGCTCATTGAAGCTGCTCCACTGAGAAGGCTGTCGCGCCATGGACCAAATACACGATGTTGGGATCCTGAGCAGTACTCGAGCCAAAGGATGCTCGAGGAAAGCCTTCTCACCCAAGCACAACGTGATTCAATGGGAAAAGGGGAAGCAGCATGATTCAACTTCATGAATTCATTCTTGCAACCTAGGGGGTGGTTGCTTTGCTCCTGCTTACATAGCATGCCACTACAATTTGCACAGAACAGTATGCCCTAAGGCATGTCTGCTCTTAGGGCGGGGTGATCTATTCATTGAGTGCGCCAATCAAAGCCAGTTCTGGAGTTTGGTCCTGGGGGCGGCCGGCAGGACAATGAGACACCGCGGTCCTTGCCGTTTGGTGTATAGAACTGCAGAGGTCTGAGTGCAAAGCCTCCGCAACTGCCACGGAGGCAACTATCAGTCCAATGGCAGTGGACGAGACTGGTCGGGTAGCCTTGGAGTCTGCTTGGCACGGGCTGCGACTGGATCCCATTGTGTACTTTGCTCACGGGATACCATGACAATGGCTGTATGTGTCTGTTTTGCTGACGGCATGCTTCAGTGCTTCATGTGCTTCGCAGTGTCTTCAAATGATATTTGCGCAGCATCAAAACCTTGTGGGTGGTTTTCCAAGTTGAGTTTAAACATATCCAGAAGATCAGGAGGGGTTTCCTATTTACCAGGGGTTTAATTCCCCAAAGCAGCAATTCAAACCATTAATCAGGGGAAAGCTGACAAGACGTGGAAGCATCAGATCGTTCCAAGGTTCTTCTTGGGTGACTTCGAGTATCGCAACGGGCGCCGAACGCCTCAGCCCAACACCTTCGGCTCGCGGCCAGAGCCGCCGCCCATGCAGCCAGGGTCTTGGTCGGTAGCATGCAGCCGACGGATGCCCCCAGAAAACAGAGGATCCCGAAGTACGGACGGGGCCTTTCTCCGTTGAGCCTTCTTTGAAATTTGATGCTTCCGATGTTATCGGCTTTTTATGGCTTGCTCTTGCGCGCAGAACAGGGAGCTAGCGGCATGTTTGGACTCGCCCGTTAGTTCATTCGGGATGGATCAAGGCCGCGAGGCGCGCCCGCCGAAGTCCAAGCGGGCCGCAAGCGCGCAGAGCACGCTCGGCTGTCCCAGGCGCGGCGAGGAGCGCGCCACGTGGGTACGCGTTGGGCGTTGGCTTGGAGCCTTTGTTTTGTGGGACCCTGCAAAGGATCGGTTTTGGCTTGAACATGTTTGGACCCTGTGGACACCGTGTACACGTGTCCGCAGTTCACAATTTTAAGCGCGTTCCCCATGACATTCATGGCCAAGTGGCGCTAGTTCAAGGGGCCGATCGAATTGCAGGGGTGTTGTGCTGCTCAAAGCAGGGTCCCTCTCTCTCTCTCTCTTCCCTCCCTCTCTCTCACCAAGTCTTTTTTGAGTGCTGCTGGATGCAAACAACTGCTTTGTTCATACCGCAGGCGCCAGAAAACGACCAGCAGGGGGCAAGATGGTATTCATTGAAGATCCCGGCAGGGAGGGGACAGCTCAGGCCTCGTTGAGGCTGGGAAGAAAGGCCTTTGGGCACTTGGGGTGTGCCTCTTGCCACAGGCCGATCGTTGGAAGCTGCTGCACATGGAGCGTGGGGAGGGCTTAGGTGGGGCTCAGGCGCGGCAACTTGATTGAACTCGCCGGGAGTTGGCCCGTGAGTTGGGGGCGGGCGGGGACAAAAGACATCAACCCCTCCAAAAACTAGACCCAGATGTGTGAGGAGGAGCTTGCTGCCGGCGTGCCATACAGTATGAAGCTGATAGATTTCGAGTTTGCAATCAGGAACAACCTGTAACATGGAGTTTGGTGCATGACTCCTCCGCCATGGTGGATTGCAGAAAACATGTGCGCCAGCGGCCGAGCTGTGACGCAGTGTGCTACGTGTCGGGGCTGATGAAGACCCCGGAATCATGTGTTTTGGTAGATGAATAGAGTGGGTGTTCCACCAACATTGAAGGATCCCCCTCTACAAAGCAAAACACCCTCCCAGCCATTGGATCAACCCAGGATGAACGGGAACCTTGGATTGACCGCCCGCTGGTTGATGAAGAGGGAGGTGCCCCCCTTTTTCATTTCGTGGAGGTTCACTTTTGGAGGGAACAAACCCCCAAAAGCGACGGGCCTATTGATCCCGGGGTCAAGATCAAGCCGTGGCAGTCGCAGAGCCTCAGCTCGCTCTCCAACACGCCGCGGGGATGCCCAATGCGGAAAGTGGGCGTGGCTGGGCTTGGTTCGAGTGGCGGTTGCGTACAGGGTGCTCCTTCTGGGTATGGCTCCCCCCCCCATCCAGAGTGTAGATATTGTCATTAGATGTTCTCCTTAATTTCTAAGCGGCACTTGAAAGGAAATGCTCCAAGATCAGGATCCAACGAGCTACAGCAGTAGCTCACTTGGCATAGGTTCACTCTTGCACTTTGACCCGCATTTGGGGAGCACCTGGGAGCCTTGGGCTGGATGTGTGGCAAGTATTTGGCCCTGTCAGTCCGATTTTCCCCGTCCCCTTTTGGTTCGGCCCAAGTGGTGCTGAAAATGTCGGAGAACTCGCCTCAGGTGCTTGTCCTGGAAGGAGGCCACGAAGGCCGCGGGTCGCCGGAAGGCGCCGAAAGGAAGGGGCAGCCTGGCCAAGGCGCGTGGCCTGCACTGGGGTCGATGTTTCGCAAGGGAATCATTTGCCGTGGAGATGTAAGCAACACAATTCTGGTGGGGTTAGGTTCTGGTGATGTGTTTTGCGATGTTTTGCTTGTTTGTTTGTATGGGGCAGCATTTTGGTGTGGCACGTTGTAGATGTTTGCTTGTATGGTGCAGCATTTTGGTGTAGAGTTGCTTGTGTATGGTGCAGCATTTTGAGGAGGGCGAGTTCTCCGAGCTCACTCCGAATGTGCCGGGCAGGCCTGCCGACAGCCCAAAGAAAACCGGCTGGGCGAAACCATAGCAAGCTTCCCAGCTTCACACAGATCCCTGAACTTTC